ATATATATATATATATATATATATATATATATATATATAAATATATAAAATATATGAAAAATTGGTGTGGGTACTCAAATGAAAGGTCTTGACGAGTACAATATCAAGATGAGTTTATATCTTTAAAAATGTCAATATTTCACGAGAAACAAGGTCAATAATTTTGTATCTTAAAATATTTAGGTAAAGAGTGCTGATGAAGCCTTCGAGGTCTTCCAAAGAGGCCAGAGAAAGCGACGGGTCGCTCACACTGCTCTCAATGCCGAGTCCTCCAGGTCCCACAGTGTCTTCACCATCAGACTAGTCCAAGCACCTCTTGATTGCGACGGTGAGAATGTAATCCAAGACAAACGCGTGATCTGCGTCAGCCAGCTGTCTCTAGTAGACCTGGCGGGCAGCGAGCGCACCAACAGGACCAAGAATACCGGACAAAGACTCAGAGAAGCCGGAAACATCAATAACTCTCTGATGACTCTCAGGTCTTGCTTGGAAATCCTCAGGGAGAACCAGGTCCAGAACACCACCAAGATGGTGCCTTATAGAGAGTCTAAGTTGACGCACATGTTCAAAAATTATTTCGATGGAGAAGGCAAAGTCAGGATGGTAGTTTGTGTCAATCCTCGGGCGGATGACTACGATGAGACCATCCAGGTGATGAAGTTCGCAGAGATGACTCAGGAAGTTCAAGTTGCAAGGCCTCAAGCTACCAAAGTCGATCTTGGGTTCACTCCGGGGAGGAGACAAGCTAACAAAATCTTCAAGGAAGCTCGCAGTCGCTTGGAAAAAGAAGGGAGAGACGTTGCTGACCTGGATATTGATCTAGGGTTGGTTTACAGTCTCGGAGGAGCTTTTCCTGATTTTGACCTGACTAATCCTCACGATGATAATATTATTACGACTTTAATGCAGTTTTTAGAGCAGAGGATTAACAAAAGGAATTTACTCCGAGGAGATTTGGAGAAAAAACAGAATGAGTTTAGAAAAATGTTGCTTACACTAGAGCAGGATAACAATTTTTATAAAAATGAAAATGTCTCGCTTAAAGCAGTGAATGCTCAGCAGAAAAAAACTCTTGATGCTTTGGGGAATCATATTAATAAAACAGAGAGTCAGATTAATAGTTTGCTGAGAAAATTAAACAGCGCTAATGAAACTATCAAGGGTTTACAGCAGGAATTGAGAGACAGAGACCTGGCTTTGAACCAGAGGTTGATTGACAAGCAGAAGGTCAAGCAGAAATACAACACCAAGATCCAGATGGAGACTGACAAGATGAACAAAGAACTGGAGATCAGGCTCAAGCAGCAGAGGCTCCATTTGCACAACCAGATGAAAAACCAGGATGAAAAATTAAAGAAAGTCAAGCAAATTCTGGACAGTGATGGCAATTTTGAAGAGCAGAAAGACGGCAAGGAGGTGATGAGCGATGGCAAGGAAGAAGCCAGGTCTAGGAGAGACACCAGGGTTGCTGTGGCTAATTTGAGGCACAGAAGGTCTCAGAGCGCTGATAGGTGGATTGATCATCGTCCTGGAGCTCTGGTGCCCATTGGTACTGTTTTACAGCCACTTATGAGGCGCAGGAGGAGTGTTACTAAGTTGACCAGTCCCAAGGAGATCACTGAGGGCGCTTCTAGGTACTGTCTTATGGCTCAGGAGCAGGACACTGATGGCGAGTTGGAGACCAAGTTGTACAAAGGTGATATCTTGCCGACAAGTGGGGGCGGCGCTCAGGTTGTTTTTAATGATGTTGAGTGTCTGAAACAACTCTCGCCGACGAGTAATCGCAAGCGCAGCGGGGTTGATAGTAAAGATAATGCTGAGTTTAATAATGACAATAAGAAGAGACCTAGGGTTAATAATTGAGAATGTTTTTTTATATTTTGATTACTTAAAATTCTTTGGGAGTTATTTTTTGAACACTAAAACTTGGAAAAAGTTTACAAATATGGATACTTAAAATGTTTTTAAAAGTTAGATGGAAAGAACAAGATGACACTGGTTATAATCTAGGATTAAACTCAGTATAATCTGAGATTATACTAGCTACTATATGAAATTTTTTTTTCACTCAGTATAATATGAGATTATACTCAGTATAATCTGAAATTATATTCAGTGTCATCTTATTTTTTTTCCATGTACTTAAATAAATTTTTATATTAGCTATATTTAAATAGTTGTAAAAATATTTTTTTTAAATAAAATACCAATTATTTATTCATACGTTTGTTTTTATTTGACTGGAAATTAAACTTACAGCCCTGCTACTAATTTTTTTTTTTCCCTTAAATTTAAATGTTTCTTCAGTGATATTTATTTGTTTAAAAAAAAAAGTTACATAAATTTTGAAATATTTAACATGAAAAAAGATATTTTAAATCATTGAGCATTTATATAATTTTAAAAATGGCAAGAGCGACACTCTGAAGGCATTTTTGATTTTTATGGCTGGATATTTAATTATTTACCCTCAAAATGACGCTCTTTATTCACAATCCGGAATCGAGTACTATTAAACTAAATAAAAAAAAAAAAAAAAATAAAAAAAAAAAAAATAGGAAAAATAATGTTTTTAATTTACGAGACTAGACAAGAGTTCTTAAAGTATTTAAAAATTAATTACATCAATTTTAATGACAGTTTAATTATAAAAAATGATTAATAGTTTATCTTACTTTATAAATTATTATCATTGTTTTTTTCATTATTATTATTATTATTATTATTATTTTTTTTTTAAATATTCCTTTAAAGTCACGCTTTAGATCATGCGTGGATAATTCATTTTGATTCTAAATTATTATCTATTTGCGCGTTATTTTTATTAGACTATTGAAAATAAATAAAAAAGAAAAATGGGAATAAAGTTTTAAATATGTAAAATTAATATTAATATAAAATGACAATGTAGTGCGTATTTAATCAACGCTAAAATTTATAAATTTATCTTTAGTTAGAGCTTCTTTTTATCGATAAAAAAATCATTTAAATCAACGGTAAATCCTTTGATTTAATTTTTACTTAAATACTAACAATGAGACTTAATGATTTATATATTTAAATATTTATTTATTCGATAGCCTTACTCATAAATTCAATAAATCTTTTGCCGTATTGTTCTGGATCACAGGTCGATATTCCGTCGACGTTAGAACCGTACTTAACTGTTTTAGCTGCTTTGGCCGCTTGTTTTCTTACTCCGTAGTGGGTTAATACGTCTATTATTGCCAGGAAATATATTTCTTTATTAGGAGCTCCTAAAAATAAAAATAAAAATAATTTATTTAAAATTATTATAAAAATGCAGCAAGTCTTGATTTGAATTAGTGCCTTAAAAAATGCTTTATCTCTAGATACATAACTAAGAAATGACCGTGTATCTCGTAAACTATTGACATTTTTAAAGATATAAGCTCATCCTGATGTTATACTCATCAAGACCTTTTATTTGAGTACCCACATCAATTTTTCATATATTTATATATATCATTTATATGTATATATATATATATATATATGAAAAATATATCAAAAATGCATGTGGGTATTCAAATGAAAGCTCTTTATGAGTGTAACATCAGGATGAGCTTATTTCTTTAAAAATTTCAATATTTAAGAAAGTAAAAAAAAGTCATTATTTAATGCAAGGTTGCTAGTTTTTATAGTTAAAAAAAAATAACCTTCTGCACTAGGAATGGCGTAAATGTCAAGCTCAGGAATGATTGCTCCTTCATACTGAAGACTCATCTCTCTCATTAATCCAGCGTGAGGTGACTCCGGAGGCGTTGTCATTGCTGCGACTCCACTCCAGCCCCAATTGCGACTTTAAATAATTATTTTTATACATTACTCTATTTTTTTTCTTTTTTTAAATTGATATTTACTCAGCATTAGGTCCTCGCGATTCAACTCCGCTGCCAGACTCGCTGTCTTCTTCATCTTCATGGTTATCCTCATCCTCACCACGCTCAGCACGCTCGCGATTTTCCTGCTCGGCCCTTGCGCAGTCATGTAATCCCAGCAGCAATGAATAATCCATCAAATGTAATCTTGTTAGAAACTGAAAAAGATTGACCAATAATTTTTAACTCTAACAAAAATCAATATTGGATTAATTAATAAAAAAAAAAAAAAAAAAATTTACATCAACATCAGCAGTTAATGTTTCAATCAATTTAGTCTTGGCCTCCTCGCCAATATAAATTTTCATCCCCTCTTTAACAAAATCATTGTCCTTATATGTCGGCAATTCTTTCTCCTTTTCCTTATCAGACGCTTCGCGGTCAACAGTTGACCCTTTGAGGTCGAATTTTTTGTGCGTTGTCAAATGATTTGAAAAGACATTCCTTATTGCGACCACATAGTGCTCCACACCGTCGACTGTCAATCGATACATTCCTAAATACTGGGGTAATAAAGTCTTTCCGTGTCTTTCTACAATATACTAAACAGAAAAAAAAAAAAAAAAAAAAAAAAACAAGACAATTAATTATTATCTTAATTACTCATTTTAATGGTAATAAAATAATAAAAATTACTCACCGGGTGATAATGTTTCAAAAATGAATGCATTCTCTCGACTTCTTCGCTTGTCAACGTTTTTATGATAAATAATTTGTCGTAAGATTGATAAAACTTAGCGCCGCTTTTTCCAGACGAGTCATCTAATGTAGGCTGGGATCTAAACAAATTAAAAAATTAATTAATAACATAAATAAAATTTTTTTTTTTACAAAAAAATCCTCAAATTTCAAAGCTCGACGATTTATTATTTGTGCAAACACCGTTACCTCAAATAAATTTTTTTTTCTGAAAAGACTTTTTAAAAATGGGGAAAATTTTTTATTTTTTAATATTGAAAATAAATAATCAAGTCTCGATTAGGTAATTGTTAAATATTAAACTTACTAAACACACAAGGACGTTAAACTACAATAAAAACTTCCAACTGACATATTATTGATGCGAATACATGTTTATAAATTACGCGATCAATTCTTCACCTCATTAATTCATAAGCTCAAGCTCAAGTCACAGGCTTGTGTTTATTAAAACGTGTCGGTGAGCTGTGTGTGTGTGTGTGTGTGTGATAAAAGCATAAGCTCGTTGATATTTACTGAAAAAAAATCTACTTTCTTTTTCCATCCTCCCATGATTTTTTTAAAAACAATGGGTACATTCGTTGATTTATTTTTTGCAGTGTTAGTTGTGCTAAAAAATATTTTTTTGACAATTATATTTTTTTAAATAAAACAGTTCAATTTTTAATTGCAACTGAGTTTAAGTAAAATAGTTAATTGTCTTGATAAATAATAAATCGTGAATTTAATAAATAAAATATAAAAAAAAAAACGATCACGTTAATTACAGACGAAGACAAAAAAAAAAAACAATAAAATATATTAGGGGGAACACAAAATAAAATTTCAAACCTCAGACGCTTTGGTTTAAAACTGTAGGTACGTTGTGGCTTATTGATATGGGGTAATTGTGTATGCGCGTTTGTTGAATTTGCTGACGAAGACGGTACTGTTATAGTAGGAGCTGTTGCCGATCGTTGTACCAATTGATGGATCTTCGCATTTGCACTCATTGGCCTATTTACATTTTCACCTGGATTTTCTCGTTTTTTCAATCGACCCGTACGTCGCGACGGATTAAACACACGACATCTACATTACAATTACAATCTTTATATTTTTTTATTCCTGGTTGGTTTTTTTAGCAGTGGGCGGATGGAAATTTTCATCAAATAAATTTTATAAAATATAAAATTTCGTTTTTTTTTTTTTATTTTTTTTTTTTTTTTTCTAATCATTACCTAGTCATTGATTCCTTGTAATCGACATCATCGATTCCAAATCTCTCGCGCAAATTTCTGAATACCAATGGACAGTATTCTTTAATCTTAAAGTGCGACGGCATGTTTTCTCTGAAAAATATTTTATTTATTAATTAAATCAGTACAATTGTAAGGTATTTGTTAAAAACTTTAAAAACTATAAGTGCAATTTTTTAAAAATATTTTTTAGTTATAATTTAATAAATTAAGCAAAATAAAAAGATCAAAAATGTCGGCTAACTTTATTATTATTCCGGTAATTGAAAATTTATGACACAAAAGTTTATAATTTTTTAATCATGTAATTAATACTAAAAATATTTTTTTAAAATTGCACGTGAAGTTTTTCAAATTTTTTTTAATAATTAAATTAGAACAAAAAAATATTTTTTTTAAATTTCACTGCCAGTTTTTAAAGTTTTTTACAAATGCAAATTTTTTAAATTCTTTTTTAATGATTTTTTCAATAAAAAAAAAATTCTAAAAATGTTTAGATTAACTTAATTTACATTAAAAATTTTAGCTGTGCCTATTGTCATATATTTTATTAAAAACATTGTCAAAAAATAGATATTCAATTATCTTTTTTATTTTTCGCTTCAAAAAATTCGAAATTGTTTATATTTTCTTAAAAATCACTAATTTAAACTAATATTTAGACTTTTATATATTAAAAGTAGGGTCAAATGCGTTTTACTTAGAAACCTGTTCAACTACTGGGTACTTTACCTTACATTTAAAATATTATTCGGCATTAATCACCTGAGCAAACTCATAAATTAACAGAAAGATAGTTGTGTAATATAAAAAAAAAATATCTAGCGCTTAAACGTTATCTTTAGAATTAAAAAAGTATAAATTAATATCTTTAAATATTTATTGACATTTTTGGTAATCGATAATATTTTCAAAGCAATCTAAATCTGGGGAGTGTTTACAAATTAAAAACATTCCTGAGTGTTTATTTATTTAAATGAAGTACGCGTAGAAAATTTAAACCCAGTGCCAATTTTCTAAACAGTTGAGCTGTAAATAAAATAAAAATTTTTCGAATGACATGCATAGAGTCGCGATTAAACCCAACCATTAAATACATTTAAGTATTCATTGAAAGATAGCCAGTAATACACAGAAGACCTTCAAGGTTTCTATTATTACAGACACTCAACCGTTCTACGATTAAACTTTTATATTTAGAATAAAGCTACTTCACTAGACAAGCTTGAAAAATACCTCAGGATAAAAACACTTAAAATTTATTTAATATTAGATTATGGAACTTACTTATTAAATAAATGATTATCGACTTTTAATTTGCTGTAAGCCCTAAAATCATCTGGTAGTAGCATGACAGGTATGTTTACGTGACTTAGCTCATTTATCTGCAAAAAAAAATACAACAACAATAACAATAACAATCCACCTTTATTTATTTATAAACATTTTATATTAAAAATGATGTAATAATTAAGAATCAGCAATTAGATGCCAAGTTTGTGAACGTGTACGTGAAATTCATTTACATATTAGTACAATAATTGATACGAATCACGCGACGTAGCTCCAATAAATTGTTATAATTAATTTTTTTTTTTTTTAAATTGCAGAGTATGAATTTTTAATTATTGATTAAAATCAAGCTGACAACTGTCAATTTTTTGAATTTTTATAATAAATAAATTACTATTAAAATATAATATTTAAATAAAAAAGGCAACAATAAATTTTTGACATTAAAATTAAGTTACTAGATAATTTTTTAATTTTTTTTAACTAACAAATTTGTTTAAAAAAATTACTTTTAAAAAATTGTATTTTTTATTTTTTAAAATTTTTACATGACAATTTTTTTTTTTTCATAATTTATTTGTTAGAAAAATTTTAAAAATTATTAAATTAATTTGTAGAAAAAAATCCTAAAAATCATCAGATGTCAGCTGACTTGAGTATTATGATATAAATTGCAATAATTCTACAGGGTGATTAAATAATTCATTTATTGGGAACAAAAATAAAATCAATAACTTGAATAAATACTCGTGAAAACAACTTGGAGTAATTTTACCAGAAAATAAATTTTGAATAATAAATGTACTTACAGTATGATTGACACCCCACATAAAAACACTTAGGAGTGGCTCGTTGGCACGAAAAAGCTTGACCTTTTGATGCTTAACACGAAAGTGTTTTTTCTTGAGCTTTGAGAGCCCGCCAGATGAGTACGGTGTCGACATTTTAACTTAAAAAAAAAAAAATGTTTTCCAATAAATAAAAAAAAAAAAATGAACTTTCAGGGGAAAAAATAATAAAATTACCTGAGACGGAGATGGTTACTGTCAAGGTGTCAGTGTGACTAATTTATTGAGTGTGAATAATTTTTATAATTTTGGTGACTTATCAAAGGTAGAACGCGATAGATAAACAGTCGTAGCAACCCGATTACGCCATCGACTTGTGAGCTCACACGATCACTTAAATCTTCCGGTATGTGTGTGTGTATAATCCGACAATTTATATATTGACATTAAAATTATTCTATTTATTATTATTACTTAGTCGATATTTATACTGGATAATTTAGCAACTGTCTGGTTCCAAATTTGGGTGGTTTTTATTCACAAACACAAGCGGGTTCAGCCGTCTGTGTGTTAATTATTCACTGGCACTTGATTAATTTAAAATTTTGTTTTAAACAATAGATGTACGCGGAGCGATAGTCAATCGGCTACTGATCTCTTTAAAAATGGCGGATGCCGACATTGAGAATTGAGAATTGATAAATGTAATTTTTAACTACTTGTCTGCCACCTCTAGTTACGTTTATTAAACTTTTCACTGATGCGCGCGTCGCGTTAATGATGGCCGCCGGAGTTTCGAGTTTTTAACTTTTGCCGCGGCAGCACTGGGCCAAATTTAAAAATGCGCGTGACATTTAAAATATGAATCAATGATAAACTAAAAGTTTTTTAATGAAAAAAAAATACTTACTAATCAATTATATTTATAAAATAATAAATATAAAATGATATTTTTAAATAAAATTTTATTTTCAATAAATAACCACGTGTTTTAATTTTAATTTTTCAACATAAAATTCTTGATTTTTTTTGTTAAAAGTTATTTTTTTCTTCTAAAAACTATATGAATGGATGCGCGGTGGCTTGCTCTTGCTCTAAAAAATATTAGCGATCGCGAATTAGTCGCGGTTGACCGATAAAAATAATAAAAATTACAAAAATCAGCAACCCCCAAAAAGTCATGTAAGGGACACTAGGGTGGGGGTTAGAGTGGGGGTACCTGGAAAGATATATAAGGAAGAGCAGCCACCCTGAGCAGATCAGTTCCCGGTCGGCCGGCCAAGGGTGCACATCGAGCAATGATGTTGTAAACTTTGCCAGTCGTCCATATTACCCTCTCGAGTAGTTTTTCAAGTGTAGTGTCATACTCGTGTTAGTTATCGGTATTTTCATTATACTTTCATCACGTTGCCAAATTGATTCGCGTTTTTGTGTTAATTGTTTGTAGATAATTTTCAAATTAAATTCAGACACATCCACGCACTTTACCCTAAACCCTTACTTATCTTTCTGTCTATTTTTCTAAACTGTATTCTCGGTCAGTTTTCATTTAAATTTTAGAGTCATTGATTAATTCAATTAGCTTCAACCCTTAATCAACCCAAACACCCACTCACACACACACACACACTTCCGGCTCTTCTTAAAGGAGTTTCTTTCAACTCTTTTGGAGAGAGTTTGCTAGCATTATAGATTCTCGCATCGTCTCGTAGTACTTAAAATGGGGTTAACAATTAGTTCGATGGTTTTTTGCGGCCTTTTAAATAATTAATAATTAAAAGGGGAGTTAGCGTAGAGTCAGTCGTCTCGGTGAATTTTTACAAAGCGCGAAGTATCGTTGCTTGATGATGGTGCGCAACATCATCTTGCATAATATAAGATCTTCCTGGGAAAGCAAATTAACCCTGATCTTTGGAAATTCATTTGGGATTAAACATGTTCACCCCTTGAATGCCCGGGCGCGATTTGGGTGACGGTTTAATCCCTTTTTAATTTTCTCTGGTCAATTCTTTTGGTTTCCAAGTTTTAAAATTCATCGAACGACAATGTTTAAATAAATAACAGAAAAATAAATAGTCATTTTGTTGCTAACTGCCCCATTCTTGCTAGCAATTAATTTTTTTGCTAATAGCAATGATAATAAATAGTATACCATCGAGCTGATTTTGCGCAGTTCGCGGTTCGCGTTATTACTTTTATCGCGGTATTTTAGGGCATCACACACTATCTTTTCACATACACACTCACTCACCACCCCCTTATTTTTGATTAATTAAGTAATAAACATCCGAAACTGACCGTGCCTACTAGCGTCACTTCTTTTCTCTTCCCTCTTTTCCCTTGTCGTGAGAGCCAACTCAGACAAAACTACCCCTTACTTACACACTTCAATAGACCAGTTGCAATAGTTTTTTTATAATTTACAATTAAATTCATCGTTAAATTAATTCATAAATAAATAAATACAGTAGAGTTACGCGTGTGGGCACATACGATTGAATCGCAAAAGGATTTGGATCGACTTTTTGCGTTCGATTCGTTGCCTTTTTTGTAATTTTTTTTCGTTTTGCGAATCAATTTGGTATTCATCATCAATATCATCTAATAATACCGATAATTAATGCGAGGTTTTCAATTAGTTCGTCATTAGATTAAATATAAATTAATAAATATAATGCAATAAAAATCGAGAGGGTATAAAAAGGGGGCTGCTAATACGTTTTTTTAGTGTGTTTTTACAGGAACCAAGGACAAAGGATTCAGCCAAGGACCCAGAACTCAATAATCCAATCAAGGACCAAAAAGTACGGATTACTCAAGAATAAAAAGTGTTATCAGTGATTATAGTGATTGAACAAGTTACTTAACAGTGTGTTCTGTGGTATGTTCAGGAGGAGGGACCAAGGACGCGAGGACTAAGGATACCAAAATGAACCAAGGACCAAAAAGTAAGGATTTTTCAAGAATAAAAGTGTTAATGTGAATAGTGTTACAAGTGATTATTTGAAGATACTAATCAGTGATTGATTAATGTGTGCCCATCAGATGGATGGACCAGGGACCAGGGACCAAGGATCAAGGACTTAAGGATTCAGCCATGGGATCAACGGACGCACCAAAGGACAAATAATTTAAGGAGGATTCAACCAAGGAGCCAGAGGATTCATCGAGGGACTAAAATATTCATTCAAGGACCAAAAAGTAAGTATTACACAAGAATAAAACGTGTTATCAATGAATATAGTGATTAAAGAAGTTACTAAACAGTGTGTTCTGTGGTATGTTCAGGAGGAGGGACCAAGGATAAATCACCAAGGATGACAAAATACTTCAAGGACAAGGACCAGCGATTCAACGACTCAAGGGAGTAGGAACAAGAGGACCAGCAAGTAATCGACGATCCAAGGATTCAAGAAGAAGACAAGGAAATCAGAGAGGACCAGAGGAGCCGATCAATTCAATCAAGGACTGGGATCAAGAGGACTAGGAACCACCACAAGGAGTAAATTGTTATTTTTTTATTTTTTTATTACTTTTATTATTATTAAACCATAGGTTACCAAGAATCGAGGACCAAGGACCGAGGATACTAAACTTCAGAATCCAGCCACGGGACCAAAAGACGCAGTAAAGGACAGAGGATTCCAGGACGAGGACCAAGGATCATAGGACAAGGACACCAGTGTAACGAAGCGACCACATTCAACGAAGGACAACAAAAAAAGTATCAATCAGGTATTTTGATTACTATTTATCTTTTTTGATTTTATGTTTATTTACATTTCTAATAAGCCTCCCCCATATTCATTTACCCCATAATAATAGTAATAATAATAATAATAATAATAATAATAATAATAATAATAATAATAATAATAATAATAATCATAATCATAATAATCATAATAATTTTTTAATTTAGCGCCCTCGTAGTTATTAAGCCCCAATCATAATGATAATTACATATATTCATTAATGTTTTAATTAGCACCGCAATATTTATTCATCCCCATAATAATTGTAATAATACTAATACATAATTCTTCTTTTCAGCAACCCGATATTTCTTCACCCCCGATAACAATAATAATAATAATAATTCTTTAATTTAGCGCCCCCGTATTTATTAAGTTTCAATAATAATAATAATAATAATAATAATACTCATACATAATTTTTCTTTTCAGCAACCCGATATTTATTCATCCCTGATAACAATAATAATAATAATAATTCTTTAATTTAGCGCCCCCGTATTTATTAAGTTTCAATAATAATAATAATAATACTCATGCATAATTTTTCTTTTCAGCAACCCGATATTTATTCACCCCCGATAACAATAATACTAATAATAATAATTCTTTAATTTAGCGCCTCCGTATTTAATAAGCCCCGATAATAATAATGATAATTATATATATTAATTAATGTTTTAATTTTTACAGCGCTATATTTATTCATCCTCATAATAATAATAGTAATAATAATAATACTAATACATATAATTCTTCTTTTCAGCAACCCGATATTTATTCATCCCCGATAACAATAATAATAATAATAAATTTTATTCATATATGTATGTATGTATGTATTTACACATTGTAATAATAAAAATTGTTATACTACTCTTTAAATCTGAAACAGTGAAAATCACTGGAAATTAGTAGTAAATTCACTATTTCACTGATTCATTTTTAGAGAGTAGTATTTTGTAAATCGTGTAATTGTATGCGTGTGGATAATTATTTTGTGTGACGTATGATGTGTGTAATTTTTTAGCCACTCTAAAAGGTGGTTTAAGTATATGTAAGCTGTGTCGGCCAGGTTTCCCTGGGGTTCCCTAACAGTTTGGCTCTGTAATGCCAAACGAAGGCCGGTACAATTAATATCGTTACCGGTTAACGATATTAATTGTAGGTGAATACGCACAGTTGCGTCCCCAGTCGCGTAATTTTTTTTTTTTTTTTTTTTTTTTTTTTTTCAATAAAGCGAATACTCGCGCTAACGAATAAAATTCCGCCTTATCATTTATCTCAACCTTTTTCCTTTAGTCTTAATTAGCTCTTAAGTAGATTATAGTTAGATTTAAGAAAGATTTCTACAAGTTCCTGGAGCAGTTTCAAGGATATAATCATACGGTAATTATATCTTATTTATTTAATAACTATTAGTTAAATTTAATTAAACAAAAAAACAATATGAAAAATTATAGACAAAAATCAGACAATAAAAAATAATAAAAGAAGTCAATCGTTCTCGAATTAAAATTAAATCGAATTGAGTTTATCTAAAATTAATCATTATTACTTATATTAAAATATATCACCCGGGTGTTGCTCGAATATCCGATATTATTTTATAATTGAAGCAAACATAAGGCCGTCACAATTAATGTCGTTGTTGATTCACGACATTATAATTATATAGGTTATTGATCTGTACAATTGCGCCCTTATAGTTGTGTAAACATTTTTTTCTACTCAATAAAACGAATTATTTCGCCTTAATGGATAAATTCTGACTTTTCATTTGATTTTTCCTTTTCCTTTAGTTATAATTAGCTTGTAATTAGCTCGTAAGTAGTTAGTAAGTAGATTTAAGAAAGATTTCTCCAATTTCTTACAACAATTTCAAGGATCATATAAGGTAATTATATCTTATTTATTTAATAACTATTAATTAAATTCAATAAAAAAAAAAAAAATTGATTGCTAAATCATAGACAAAAATTAGAAAATAATAAAATTTAACAAAAGATTCGCGTCTGACTAAAATTCATTAAAACTACTTATAAATAAATTAATATTCGATGAGCGATTCGTAAAAAAAATTCATTGTCACGCCTGACAAAAATAACTTGATACTACTTAACAGATAGTAACACCCTGGTGTTGCTCGAATTCTTAGCGTCTGACTAAAATAAAACTTTACTACTTAATTGAAGATAGTTTCCGGGTCTTGCTTAAATATTTGCCGTCTGACTAAAATAATTTTGTACTACTTAATTGAAAATCGAGCCAGGGTTTCACCTAAATGGTAAGTAGAATAATTGTTGGACTATTTTAGACCTATACTACTTTGCTAAACATTATATTGGTTAACTAACTAAGTATTTTTCATCTGAAGAAACTAAATATAGAGCCTCACTAGTAAAGTACTTAAATTTAAACAGATTTGGGCAATTAAAATTTTATACTTAACGTGATTTACTGGAAGCTGCATCAGAAATTTCAAAGAATCATTATTAAATTGGCTTAAAAACTAATTACAACTAAAGGAAAATGAATCAGATAAATAATAAGACAGAATTTTTTTTAAGGGTGAAATGATTTGCTTTATTAAAAATAAAACAACATTTATCGAGAATTAATATTATTAATCGGTAACGACATTGATTGTACCGGCCTTCGTTGGGCTTCTCTCTAATTATTCCATTATTATTCCATTCAAGTAGTATAAACCCAATTTAGTCAGGCGGTGAATATTTAAACATAACCCAAGTCTCTTATGTTTTAAATCAAGTGGTATAAACTTGTTTTAGTCAGATATTATATTTTTCAACATAACCCGTCATGGGTTATTTTGAATGAAGTAGTAAAAAATTAATTTAGTCAGACGATTTATTTTTGATGAGCATGCCCACCCGGGTGTATTTTTTATTTTAATCAAGTAATGTAACTAAATTTTAGTATGACGCGATATTATTGGATAATTTATTTTAATTCTAATATATTTTTTATTAATATTACAATTGTTAAAGTGTTGTTTACAATGAAATTGTTCCATAATATTTATTTATTTAAAAATCTAATCATCAATTATCATTTTAAAGAATCAAAATGCGCTCAATAAAATTTTGAATTTGAATTTATTATCCCGCGAAGTAATATGTGACCGACCGTAGAGCCACCTGCAGTTTGATTTACGAGTAATGATAATGGCGACGCGCAAGCGGGTGACACATTTCTCGTGATTCGTGATGCACTGCGCGATGAATAACGTGTACAACAATATAATTTAAATTTACAATATCTAGATTTTAGTGTAAGTACTTAAAGTAATATCAATTAAAACTATTAAAAAACAAGTCAATAATTTAAAAGTAAATCATAAAATTAAAATGAATTAACGTGCTATTCAGTTTGACAATAGAAAACACCATGTGAGTGTAAAATGTGAGATAATAATAATAAATAATTTTTGTTCTGTATTTTAATACTTAAGTTTAAATCATAAGTTAATTCGGAATAATTCTGAATTATTTTGTTATTTTTTTATAAACTCAATATAAAATATTTATTATTTTTCTTAAAATTTTGGTAACAATCTTGAGTATAAATTTTTTTTAAACTAGACAAAGAAAAAGCTTTACAAATATTAAATTCAAGTTAAAATAAATTGAAATAGTGAATAACAATAATAATTTATATTATTTTTATTATTAATAATCTAATAATTAAATTTAGAATTTTTTAATATAAAAAATTCGAATTTTGAAAAATGGCGCTTAAACTTCAGTTTTAGTCGGGCCGAAAGAGGCGCGCGTGCGCGGACTGCGTACTCGTTGAAATGGCGCCGCTTGATATGTCTTATAACAAAACTTGCAATGTCATTTTCTACGCTATCAGTAACAACTAAAACAGTTCCATCATTTAATTAAATCATGTTTTATCATTATATTTTATTTAAATAAAAATGTGGAAATAATTATTAACTAAGTGAAAAAAGTACATTATTTTTGATAAATACAAATTTTTAATTGTACTAAAACTAAAAATTAACGGAAAAAGGTTAGAATTAAAATTTATTGATAAAAATTACACTTAATATTTCGAATTAGTTAGTTATAAATATTTTACTTAAGCAGCGACCATTTGAGTTGCTCTTTGGCTGATTGAAGTACCTTGAAATAATAAATTAATATTTTAATTAATATTACGGGTCGAAAATAAAAAATTAAAATAAATTTAGCAGATATTTAATGATTTTTAGAATTTTTTTTTTTAAATAAAAAAAAACTAGAAAAAAAAAATTGACATGTAGAAATTTTAAAAAATATAAAATGTCATTTTTTAAATGAAAATTAAGTTAGCCGACATTTAAAAATTTTTAAGATTTTTTTCCATTAAAAAAATGATTACAAAAAAATTATCATTTGTAAAAAAAATTAAAAACTGCAAGTGCAATTTTAAAAAATATTTTCCTCTAATTAAATTATAAAAAAAAAAAAAAATAAATAAATAAAAAAATGTCGGCTAACTTCAGTATTATTTTTCTTAAAATAATTTGTTAAAAATAAAATCTAAAAATTCTCTAATGACTGCTAACTTTAATGTCATAAATAAAAATAAAAACTTTAAAAGACTTACCTGAGCGACTGTTTGCTCTCCCAGTGGAATGTCATCAGTTCTAAGCGCGACTCGTCCAACGACACTGGCAGCATCAGCATCTAGGATAATTCTAAACAGTAAAACATCATCAATAAGTGACTTTTAGTGAACTAAGTGTTAAATAACATCAACAATAAGTGAGTTTTAGTGAACTAAGTGTCAAATAACGTACCCTCCATCACAAATCTCGTCCATAGCGAGCAAGGCGATGTCCAAGCTGTCCAAGACAGCCCGTTTTTCAACGTTCCTTCTCAGGATCTGGCTGATGGAATCATACAGACAGTTCAACACCGTCATCAGGATCAGCTGTGAGTAATAAATTTCTTTTCTATATTTAAAACTGTCAGTTTCATTGATAAAAATACAATTCGGTGGTGTAAAAGACGAGACTTACTTCGTTCTCGTAGGAACTTCCCATGACATAAAAATACAAATCAACATTGCTCCGATAAACGCACGTCAATCCATCAAGCATTATTATTTCAGTGTTAGACCTGTGAGTTTTGTTGAATAAATTTTTTTCAAAGGCCTTCTGCTCCTTAGAAGTTGGGAATATATTTTTGTCATAATACTTTGCTAGAATTCGGTGGCCATCGTTGTCCAAGATTACCATCCCCTTGATGGTGTACAGAGATGGTTCCTAATAATTTTAATAATAAAGTTTTACAAACAGTTAGGTTATAGTTGTGATTCTATATGTTAGTTGAAATTCCGTAAACAGTAAACGAAAATTAAAAATCAAGAGCAGAAATTAATTATTAATTAATAAATAATTACCAATAATTGCCCGTCCATATTAATGCTATTTTATAAACGTGTCAACAATCTAATATGTCATGTCATCAGACACTAACGGGTGACGTGAATTGTTGGATTGATTTATTTTTACTGTCTCATGGTAAGGAGTAATAAAGATTTTAGTATTCAATAAAAGATGGCGCTGAGTGGAGCAAAACTAGCTTGATATTTTGATACGGAAGAACAGGATGACATTATTATTAAAACGATTTTCAAATGATTATCCAAAAATTTAGTTTTTTAATTGTTTAAAATTTTTCTGCAACCTAAGTAAGTAAAAAATAGCTGATAAATAGTGATTAATTTTTATATTATCATTAAATATCCAAATTTTCATGAAAAATTGTTATCAAGCGCTTAAAAAATTCCAAAAGGTCTAAAGGTATAAAATAAAACATGACTTTGAATAATACTAAAAGTTAGCTGATATATTAAAATTATAGAAATTTTTAATAACATTTTTTTTATTATTGTTATTGATTTATTATAAAAAATTGTCAGCTAACTTCAGTATTATGAAATAATTTAGTTAAAAAACTCAATTTTTAACATATCTGGTTATTTTTTTAAATTGTAAAGCTTTGTTGCTGTTTTTATTAATTTTTTTGAGCTAATAAGAGGTCAAGGCTTATAAAAATGAATGTTAAAATTGGAGAATATGATATTGACAGGCTGTTTATTGCATTTAATCGCCGCAACTCTGGAGCAGTACACTCATTCACAATGTGAATGTTAATCATCTGTTGTCACCAGCATTCTACTGGTTGTAAAGTTTATGATGACGGTAATTTTAGGAAAACAATAGGCCAGACTTGAAGAATTGATTGTTGCAAAGAGGAGCCATTATGAATGATTAAGATTTGAAGCAAAAGATCCAAAGCTCCATGGAGATATTAACTTATTGTGATAGCTGAAAATCTAAATAAATTCAGAGCAAAATAATAATCCAGGTGATGAAAGGTGAAAAGAAAGATTGTGGATATAAATGTAGCATCTGGTTTGGTTTATCTTTCGCCAGATAAGATATAGCCTTTGTGATATGTTATAACATATGTCGTCGCATAATAGCACTGTGGTAGCGGTAGGAAGGTATATAGGATAGAATAGCGGGAGATTCAACCCTACTCTTGTACCACCACCGCCTGGAGTATCCACGTGGGAACGAGACACACAAGAGGAGGCGATTAAGTGTATGACATGGGTTATCAAACGTTTTATCGTTCATAACTAATCAGGCGTTGCTAACGAGACCCTTACTTTTCATTTTTTAATTTAATAATGTTTTTATTTTCACTGTTTCAATTAAATCCTCTCAGTTTTCCCGCTTTACTCTCAATAACTTTTATTTTCATTTTTATCCTCTGTAAAAGGATAAAACCAATTGGAGCTCAAAAAACAAAAATTTATGCGCTGAAAAGGGAAAAGATGGTAGATGGTAGTTGGTAAAATTACATTTGATCTTTTCGAGTAGTGGATTTTTTATATAGATAAATTTTATTGCCCAGTGTCGGATTATCAAATAGTAATTCAAGACTATTTAGTTTTTGTTATTTATCGAGTTCTGGAATTATCTCTCGGAGATTTTATATCCTATCTTTGATCCTTTAAATCAATTGTTGATTTTGAAAAGTTGAAAGGTGCACACTGATAGAAGGATTTATTTGTATTAAAAAATATTTTTTAATAGTTAACAAATTATTTATTAGAGACCACTTTTTATACATAGTATTAAATAAATATTTCTTAATATTTAAAATGATTTGTTTGTATTTAATATTAATGAATTTTTAAAATACTAAAAAATATTTGTTAAGGACTAAAAAAAAGTGGTCGTCTCTAATAAATCCTTCTATCAGTGTGATAAAAATAAATTTTAAAAAATAAAATAATTTTTGTATTTTCTATCAATACCCATAAGAGAACTATAAATAGAAAAAAATAACAAAAATAACAAAAAAAATGATCTGACAATGAGACAATGACAACAAGGATAATTATTTATTAAAAGTGTGCGTTGGCGAGTGTGTCTGACCTAAAGGAATCGATCGGGTTGCGCAACCAATGACACAGTCGGTGCCCACGCAGTGAGAGCCCATAAATACTACTCAGACGGCTGTCACTGGTGAAGCTTGTTCTTTTATTCTCTATCTTACTATTCGTTATTTTAGCCCCTCACCCTCTGGCTCTGGCTCTGGGTGACTAAATAACGTATAGGTCTATAGGTGTGACGCCACCGAGTCGGAGACTGAGAAAATTCGTGTTTGCATCGCAATAAGCCGGCCCGCCCGTAGCTACACTGATCCAGGAGGGTTGACATTTAGACACATCCGTATATTGGGACGGGATCGGAATCGAGTCGGGAGTCGGAGGGTATTACACATGGAAAAGACGTCGGACACCTTGGATTGATATGAGGTAGACTTAGACGTGAAGACGATGGTGATATGGACACCCGTGATGTTGTCCAACGACCTCCTGTGTGTTGCTCGGAGGTAATTGTTGGTGGCTCAAGCTGTATATATATATATATATATATATATATCTAATATATACTCCTACAGCATATCCCTCTTGCTATAACATATCTACTTACCACCCGGCGTTTCAGTTTCCCGGGTCCGTCCTCCATCTATCTGTTTAGATCTCTCTCTGCTCTTGCTCAGATACTTGGTAACTTGGACTCCAGATCGATCTGTGTCTATGTGTGAATTGCGTGTCTCCTCTACGGCCTAATTGAATTGATTGTGATCGGGACGCCGACTGATCATTGATCACATACCGCCTGCTGATCATCTCGAGTCTTCTCTGTCGACTTGAATTAATTGGAATTAAATTACATACACATATATACCCATATACCCATATATAGATTGACGTATCTCGATATTCATGCGGGTCTATCACACTTATTCTTTATTTATTTATTTATTTATTTATTTGTTATTTCAATTTCAATTAATTCGTTGAGAAATTTGTCCGCTAGAGAGCAATAAAATTTTATATTTAGCCGGACAAAATTAATAATGAAAAAGTAATAAAGTATTTTTAGGGTCTTGATATAATAATTGAACGAATGTTTGAAAACGTCGATATATACGAGGTTAAATAATTGGGGGGAGAATATCTACAGTAAGCTGTTGATTATTATAACAACGTATGCGCACCTGGAGTGTAAGGCAAATAGTAGATAAGCGAGCTGCCCGAACATTTATTAAACATACCCCTGGAATAGATGGGAAAGTGCTTTTACACACACCAGACAAATGTGTCAGAACTAACCCTTAATCGACACTAAACTGTCTTTTATTTTTTATTTCATTCTACTATTTTTATTTTGTGTTAATTAGTTTTGTTATTAGATGATATGCTTGTCGGTATTTTTACCAAGTTGGATCGTTTTTGGTTTAAATGATTGTTTGCGTCGGATTTTATTAAAAGTTAGTACATATTTGAACGATGGACGTTCCTTGGGGCTAAATTCGAATTCCGAATTTTCGGTTTCATATCACTGGTGAGGTAAAGCCTGATTGCAAATGACAGCTTGCTAAACAAATTTGTTCGATGGTATATGTGTAATATTATACTATATTATCGTAACTTTAGAAACTGTAATTATACTGTTTGTCCGAAGCCTCTGTTGGAATAATAATAATTATTATTATTATTATTATTTGTTTTTAAAATTAATTTTTAATTGATCAATGAAAAATTATAAATTTTAATGTTTTCAAACTCTCTATTATCGATCATTATTGTCATCTATTTTTTTTTCCAAGATAAAAATCTTGTCGCAGGGAGACTTTTAACGTTAATAATTTTAGCTTTGCCCTCATCTATTAGTATTCATCGGCATACTCGTAAGTCTGAACAAGTATAGTTAGTATTTATAAGATATAATAGTGTACGGTATAGATCGAAACATCTGTGGGTACTATATCAGCCAAGAGATCTTAGATAATGCTTCGTTAAATTTAACTTTAGTTGACGCGGTAGCGATGACGTTAACACATCTACCAGAAAGATAATGTCCCGTTTTTTCCTCTTTGTTTGCAATTATCCTTTGTTTGCTTCTATTCACTTTATCACACATTATTTTAAAATAACAGTTATTCTTTAACACATTTTTTTAATACTAACTTTTGCGGTAAATTATCTTCTAAATTTTTATTATGCAATCCTGAATATTTTCTCCAACGTAACTGAAAATGAATTTATATTGAAGTAACTTATTACCAAATACGTATATAACATGTAACTTCATTGATTTATATATTATATATATGTATCTTCTTTCAACTACCCACAATCTACTTAAAATTGGCTTTTGATTTTAATTAGCGGCTTACTGAAATTCTCTCGATTTCTATCAAGAAGGATTAACTCTATTCATTAAATTAATTGATTTAAGTAGCTAATTAATATAAAATCTCAAATACTTAGTGGTTTCTTATCTTTCAAATTTTTTGACAAAAAAAAACGTATACAAAAAATAAATATCTTTATTAAAAAGTATATTTAACTTGCTCTAAAATTAAACAATTTAATTCAAGAATAATAATAGTAGAATTTTGACTCTAAATAATTTAAGGTAGCTAAGTAATATCAGTTTTTTTTCATTGCGCAGATTGAACAGGGTTCGAGTCCGGTCCTGAGCAAATTTTATAAAAATTTTTAATTTGTCAAATTTTAAACACTAGCAAGTAAAAGAAATTTATAGATAGAAATGTTTTTTTTTTTTCAAAACTTTATTTGTGAGTACATAAATAGTTTATTTTTTGAGTTGTAATTCGGACCCTCTGACAACAGTGACCGAGCATTAAAAGGATCTGTCGACTAGACGGAAAACTTTAACTGGAGAATGTATAATAGTTAAGCGGCTAGAAAATTGTTCAAACGACCGTGCAATGAATAATTTAACTATTGACGTATGCATGATGTTGTGACACGATTAAATTTATTTAAATTTCTCCCCCTTGGCACTGTCAAAACTCCCTAACAGTGATAATAGTTTTGACAGAATCTCGAATAAAAATTCATACGCCGGAACTAAATCTGGCTCTACTACTCATCTCATTATTTATTTTTATTTTTTCCCTTTAAATGAATAAGTAATAACGAATTTCATTATCAAAGCTCGAGTTATTACAAAGGACAAAGGTATAAAATTATACGCAATTACAAGTAGGTCTATTGTGACATGTCAAATCAATGGGACGGTTAGTAATTAGAAATGAATACACATCTAACAAGATTATTTGACAAATTATACACACAGGTGGGTATGTATATATGTACATGACACCGCTATCATCAAATAGGCTCACAAATAACCATAGTGGTTTCTCTTCTCTATAGATATATATATATATATATTTACTATTCTGTCAATGGGGCTGTAACTTGTATGTGCTGTGGAACGGCATATTTGATGCTCGTTCGTTCCTCTGTACTCCTATATATATTCCTACATTCGTCATTACGGTGTATTATACTTGAATATTTCGGATATACATCCTACCCTACTACATCTACTATATATACCCACTATTACGTACAATCTAGGGCTTTATATAATCATTTTTGTAAAAAATTCAAAAAATTATCCCCCATTTAAAATCTATATTAATTTTATGTTTAATTATTTCGAATAATTTCCCCGGAATGATCAATTGTCTTTGTAATTTATATCGAGGGTAAAAAGAAAAATTCATTTTGACATCCCATCCAGAGGATCGAATAAAAATTTAAATTTATTCATGTGTCCAGAGTACGGTACAACATCACTTAGTCAATCGACTGTGAATTAAAATAAAAATTCATTCGACCTTTTTTATTATGCATACCTAAATTTTATTTTATAATGTCCTTTATTATTATTATTAAAAATTTGAAACAGCAAAATAATATTTTTTAATTAAATTGATAACTGTAGATCTTAAAATACTACAGTTAGCTTAGTAGAAAATTTTGTAAGCTACAATTTTGATTATTTGATACAATCATTACTTCATAGTGATAAAATTTTGGTAATTATTAGGCAATATAAAAAAAAAAGAATTAATGCTTATAATTATTTATTAATATTTAATAAATATATATATATATATATATATATATATATATATATATATATCTGAGCAAAGATAGAACAAAATTTAAATCTTAGTTATAATGACGTGGAAAAGGGGTGAAATATCATTAAGAGAGGGATGAAATAAAATAAAAAATAAGTGGGGGAGGAGGGACGGAGGTAGGGGGGCATATAATATTAAGAGTGGGAAAAAATGTCCTTACTGCTGGAGAGTTATAAATAGATACGCATGCGTAAGGAAGAGGAAATATTCAGAGAGCCACTCCCGATGATCGGCGCACAAACATCCCCTTGGAAGATTACGTGCGTGCGATTCTTGGACACATCAGTCTCACGTCCGCAGCCGCACAGTCGACAATCCGCCGTCTCTTCACTCTCAACTTTGGCGGTTAATCCGCCGGTACGATTTCAAACAAACTTTTTCATTCATTTTTTTTTTTTTTTTTTTTTTTTTTTTTTTCACTATCTGCTGCAACTTTTTATTTTCAACGCTTCTGCTTAAATTTTTATTTGTAATTATTTTTAAGCAATAAAGATTTTTATTTGTCGAAACACGTGAGTCGAAAGTTTTTCCAAGTAACTTTATAAAAGTCACCCAGAGATTTAGGATTAAAAAAGTAAAAATAATTTATCGAGCCTTGGGGGGAAATTTAAAGTAAATATTTATTGAAGCCAGAATAAATCTAAAAATTAGAATTAGTGGTGGACTGAATAGATTACGAGGAAATACTGGCTCTGACGATTTAATTCAGTAGATAGAGACAACTGGCAGACACCTGTCCATCGTACATGCGGGTACGGGCGAGAAGACGTCACGTTGAACTTGATTTGAGGCTACGATACACATCAAATTACTCCTACGTGATACATGTTTTATTGCGCTAGTTCAGTGGACGAATAAACCCGTGTCGCCTTCATTATTATTTACAGATAAATTTTTTTTTTTTTCATTTTATTAATTCAATATTTATTTTTGTTTTTTTAAAGGCAGTGCACCAAAGACAATTTATTTTTTCCGGGCGTCAGTGAATTAAAACGAGTGCGACCGCAAGTCACCCGCAGATAAGGTAAGAAAAATTTATATTTTTTAAAAAATTACACTGAAAAAAAAAAGTAACAGAAATTTTTTCAAGAACCCAGAGCGGGAATCGAACCTTGGACTGTTAGATTACGCGCCAAGCGCTCTTGCAGTTAAGCTATTCGAAAAATTGCGGATTAATAATTTTCTCTTGAATCAAGTTAATTTTTTTTCAGTGTAATGATAATAATTAATTTGGCCAGAGGGTAAACCACGAGGAACCTTGTTGCCGGTTTAGTTGTGGGTGGTTGGCGTCGGACGTAACCACTACAACTTAACTTTCTCTCACTTACACTTAGACTCGTCAACTTGTAGCTTCTTGTATATAGATGTAGCAAAGCTCTCGACACTAGAAGCAACAGCTGTAGAGTGGTACATGTATTTAAAGTGATAGAATGGCTCTCTCGATGCAGCAAGTAAAGCAAGTTTCTATTCCCGATCGCTAATCGAATAAACCAAG